ATCTATCTATCTATCTATCTATCTATCTATCTACCTATCTAATCACTTAACATAGCCAATTACAGCATGTGGTTGTCAATTTGTGGATTTTTTCAATTATTGTTTTACTCAAATATAATTTAATGACAGGGTTTTACTTCTGAACATTTTACCCAAATACTCAACAAATATTACCATCTTGTAAGGATGAATTGAATAAATAATAATCTGATGTTCATAATATAATCTTATTTTCTTATTTCCAATTCTTTGCTAGTTTTCTCTTTACCTTTAATTTACTTGCAACTTCCTCTAGAATATAGAGAATACATCTAGGAGTATTGCCAAATACTAAAGATGAAAAGGTGATTTAGACAGGCTTCCTATAGAGGTAGTTAGAGTCTATTGTTATTGTGTGCCATTGAGAGTCAGAACTGACCTTCCAGTGGGTTTTCAGAAGCAGTAAATAACACCGGAGATTTCCCCTCCTTATCCCATGGAGCAGGTGGTGGATTTGAACCCTGTGCCTTTGAAATTGCAGCACAGCTTCTTACCACTAGACCACCAGAGCTCCATCTATTAAGTATTGCTTAAATCCTCCATCTATATAGACTCTTGGGTCATAAAGGTGGTTCAATATTAGAATGAATTTTCACTTTCTGTGCAGCTTTGGATTTTAACCCCAGTCAATGAATGTTAAGAAGAAATGTCTGGGGAACTTCTTTTGACAATCAGCCAGCTATCACCATGGGACTATTATACATTGGATCAGTATGAGTCAAGGCTAAATAAGATAAATAAGATAGCTGACAACAGTGATACAGAACTTTTGGTAACGGACCATGCAGTCCCAAAGAAATCATCTCTTCTTTAACCTCTGTAACTATGTATTTATTTATTGACTTACTTATTTTTTACAAAACTTCTTTATCCTCACATCTCATCTCTGTTAAACTTTAAAGATTGACTTTTTTTGTGTGTAAACTTTTCCTTAGATTTTTGGTGTTTGGTTTGGTTTTTTTTTTTAATTTTTTAATGATCTTCTACAATAGTTTTCCTTTTGTGACTGAATTCTGTCACTCAGTACAATTTGTTCTAATTCCATCTGAATGGGAAACCAATACTAAATATTTGTAATAAACTGAATGCTATCTAAGATGTTGGGCAGGCATGGTTCAAGCTAGAATGCACCCTGAGGCACTAAGGCAATCTTAAAGGTTTAAGAAATTCTTGCATTTGCTGCCCCCTCCCTCTTGAGTCAAGGGGAAGGTTTTCAACTGAAAGAGCTTGGCTTCATTTGCATTGAATTTTTTGTGATTTACTTCCTGATAATTTGGAATAAAGATACAGGGAAGCTGGAATAGGAGCCTTCAGTCAAGAACTGGGGGCTCCCTGTTTTTATGCTCTCTGTTCTATCTCATTCCTGGCTAGCTGTCTCATTACTGTTGTTGTTGTTATGTGCCATTGAGTCGTTTGCAACTCATAACGACCCTATGTACAACAGCCCTAAACTCTGCTCTATCCTGTGCCAATCACACTGCCTCTGACACACCCATCCCGATTACCCCAGTCACTGAATCAATCCATCTCATAGAGCGTCTTCCCCTCTTGCGCTGTCCCTCTACCCTACCAAGCATGATGTCCCTCTCCAAGGACCTGTCCCTCCTTGCAACATGCCCGAAGTATGTCAGACTCACAAACCTATGTCTCATTATTAATAATTATAAAAATACTTTACCCTCGGTTTCCAACACATCTGCATTGTCTTCACATTGTATTCACTAAATACTTCTATTTACTTAATTCTTGAAAGGGTTTTTGTTTTGTTTTGTTTTTAGTATGCATAATACTTTATTGTGTGGATGTACCACAGTTTCTTGGGTCATTCATCCATTGGAGAGTACTTGAGTTGTTCACAATTTTTGTTGTTATAAATGATGCTACAGTAAACATGGGCATGGATACCTGTTTGAGGTCCATATTTCTTTAGGATATATGTCTAACTCTTGTTGACACTTTAATATTCCATTTAGATCATTATTTGTTCACTCTGCGATACTTTGTTTTAAGATGTTATTTAACTACATATATTCTTGAGCTTGTGTGTGGTTCTCATAGTATGATTTGCCTGTTCAAGAATAGAAATTCCCCCCTCCCCATTATACTTGTTTGTGCATTTAAGCTCATTAAGTAAAATGCCACACAAACAGAAAGGGCTCCATAATATGTGAAGAGTAAGTGGCATTCTAGGTAGAATGGAGGTGGGTCTGTGTGGTGCGAGTCATCGGGAATTTGTAGGATGGATTCTCACAAGTCACCCTGTTTTCTGAGCTGGAAAGACTGATGATACAAATCCATTGTATGTCCAGGGAAAATGGTGGCAAGTAGTTGGAAGGGTCAGTGACAATTGAAATTCTGAAAGGTGTAACCCAGTCCCTTGTAGAATGACGTTCCAGGAAATCATAAGGAACTTCATAAAGTGTCCATAAAGTCATTAAACCTTCTAAGTTATTAAACATAACCCCGTTGAGTAGGTGTTGTTTTTTTTCACTCATGTAAAAAAATACTTTTACTGCTAATAGTACTTTCGTATCAAAACCTAATTTTCAATGGACAACAGAAGTTTTTTATATCCTTCCGTTATGCCAAAAAATTAAATCTGCAGGAGTGCCAGCTTGAGTTTATAGTACAGTTTAGCATTGCTAATGCTATATTTAAAGAATATGTTTAAAGCCAAATGGCTGGGTTCACCCCAGTACATTGCTGCGTGTAATTCTCTGACTGTACTCACCACATCATAAATAATAATGAAAGTAAATGTACATTTATCAGGAAGAATCAACAAAGCACCTGCACTGATTTGCTGATCATATTTGTCTCACCAGGCATTAAGGCCAGCTTCCGAACAAGGGTGCCTGAAGGTTTGATTGTCTTTGCAGCATCTCCTGACAATCAAGAGGAGTATTTTGCACTTCAATTGAAGAATGGGCGTCCTTATTTTGTTTTTGATCCTCAGGTAAATAAATAATCTTAAGAGTTGTTATTTTTGAAAGTTTGCCGGGGTATCAGGTAAGGAGGTAAGTGCTTCTGTTTTCACGTTGAATTGCACACAAGCACTCAATGTAAGTGCTATTATGATTATCTACATTTTACTAGGGAAAACTATGAAACTTACAAGTGATGCAATTCATCTACAGTTAAAACAGCAGGGTAAAATGTCAAACTGATTTCCCTACCAAGTTCATAGGGAGTTGCTCTGTTAAACCAAAGCCACACTCTTCCGGCAGTTCAAATCCTTCAGCAGCTCAATGGGACAGAGATGAGCGATCTTCTCCTGTGCAATTTACATTTTTGGAAATGCAAAGGAGGGTCAACTGTGTGTTGGTTCCACCTCAAAATCATTACGTTTCAGGCAGTTTGCAGAGCTAACTATTTACCTTATAATGAAGATAAAAATTAGTTAAGAAATTAAGGAGTTGGTTTTTTTAAAAGTTTTTAGAGAGCAAACATCATGTCTCTGTCAACTTCTGGAACAGCAAATATTTAGGTGCCCATCAAGTACTACTGATTTTGGTACGGTGAACTACAATTGCTTTAAAGTCAAATAGAGCTCATATGAAAACTAACCACCTCCAAAGTGAAAGGTTTAAACTTACTACAAAATTCAGGAGCAACACTAGCTGAGTGTATAGCAAATATGTTTTATTTAAAATTCACACTTTGGTGAATTGGGGCTGAACAAGGGGTGTAAAGAGAGGACAGGAGAAAAGGAGGATATGCAATCATTCTATGCTGGCTACTTGGGGGTAGTCACAGCAGTTTCAAGGGCCTGGGCACATTTGCCACTATATCAACACTCCCTGTTTTATCTCCTGGTTGTTGTTGTTATGTGCCATCTAGTGTCTCCTGTGCCAACTTTATTGTCTCTGACACGCCTACCCTCATTACCCCAGTCACTAAATCAATCCATCTCATCAAAAGTCTTCCTCTCTTGCACTGTCCCTACACCCTCCCAAGGATGATGTCCCTCTTGAAGAACTAGTTCCTTCTTGCAACATGCCCAAAGTAGGTCAGAGGAAGCTTCAGAATACTTGACTCCAAGGAACAGCCTGGTTTCATTCTTTCTAGGATGAACTTGTTTATTCAATACACTTCTGCAGCACCACAGCTCCAAGTCATCAATTATCCTTCAATTATCCTAGTCATTGTCCAGCTTTCTGATGCATACCAAGTAATTGTGAAGACCTTAGTCTCCAGACTGATATCATTGCTTTTCAGTACTCTGAGAGGTCCCTGACAGCAGGCATTCCTAGTGCAATTCGTCTTTTGATTTCCTGGCTACTGGTATGAAGAGTGTTGATTGTGGAGCCAAGCAAACTAAAGCTGTTAACAGTCTTAATCTTTTCACCATATATCATTATGTTACCAACTTGCCCATTGGTGAGATTGTTTTCTTGATGTTGAACTTCAATCTATAACGAAGGCTGCAGTCCTCCACATTCTACAGCAAGTGTTTTCAGTCGTCTTCAGTTTCAGCAAGCAGGGTTGTGTCATCTGCATAATGCAGATTGCTGATGAGTGTACCTCCAATCCTGATGCCACATTTCTCCTCATATAGCCCAGCCTCTTGGATAATCTGTTCTGCAAATAGATTGAAAAGATAGGAAAATAGGATACATCCCTGGCATACACCTTTTCTGATTTTGAGCCATGCAGTGTTCCTTATTCTATTTGGAGGACTGCCTCATGATACAAGTATGTTTTTATTGTTGTTTTTGATTGCCACTGAGGAGAGCATGACTCATTGTGAGGCTATGAACAAAAGACCTGAAGCCTTTCTATAACTATTGTAATTTTTCAAAGTTCATAGAGTTTCCAGAGTCATGTGGTTTAGGAAGTGGATGCCACTCCTGCTTCCAATCCTGTCTTAAACCAGGAGTTCCACCAAACACTGTCCACCGTGGGTAACTGTTATGACATTTGAAACCCCAATGGCACAAGGTTCAGCATCACAGCAACCCCAGGTTTCCTCAGAACATCAAATTGACAGAAGAGTGTTGTACCACTTAGAAGAATGTTCCTCCAAATTATAATAACAACTTACTTTTAAATACGAAGTTCCTTCCTGAGGTCTTGTCGATTCTAAACAAGAGGCTTAAAAATTTTTTTTAAAAAAACCTCCAATATAGCATGTTGTTGTTGTTATGTGCCATTGAATCTCCTGTGATGCATAACAACCCTATGGGTTATAGCTCTAAGTCCTTCCCTGTCCTGAGCCATTCTCACTAGTTTTGACACACCAAACCCCATTGCCCCAGATACTGTATTAATTGATCTCATCTGAGGTCTTCTTTTCCTGTATTGTCCCTCCACCCTTCAGAACATGATGTCCTTCTCCAGGGACTGGTATCTTCTGGCCACATGTCGGGAAGTATGTGAGACACAGCTTCAAAATTCTAGCCTCCAAAGAGAAACTTTTTGTACCTTCTCCAAGACAGACAGATTTGTTTTCTTGACAGCCCATAGTATGTTCAAGACTCTTCTCCAGCACCACAACTCAAAGGTATCTATTCTTCTTCTGTCATCCTTAGTCACTGTCCAGCTTTCTGATGCACAGCAAGTACTTGAGAAGACTATGGCCTGTATTAGGCACACCTTTGTCTCTAGACTTACTTTTTTCCTCTTCAGCACTCTGGAGAGGTCCATGACAGCAGATTTTTTTTTCCAATGCAGTCCATCTTTTGATTTCCTGACTGCTGGTGCCAACAGTATTGATTGAGTAGCTGAGCAAGCTGTAATTGATAACAACCTCAACGTCTTCTCCATCTATCATAGTGCTTCCCATTGGCCCAGTGATGAGACTCTTTGTCATCTTGATGTTGAGCTTCAAACCAAATTGAAGACTACAATCCTTGACCTTTTGCTGCAAATCTTTCAGGTTCTCCTCAGTTTCAACAAGTAAGGTTGTGTCATCTGCATACTTAAGTTGTTGTGTCATCCTCCAATCCTGATGCCACATTCCTTCTCCTGAAGTCTAGCCTCCTGATGATCTGTTTCACATACAGATTGCAAAGGTATGGAGACAAGACACATCCTTGATGCACTCTTTTTCCTGATTGTGAACCATGCAGTGTATTCTTGCACTGTTTGAGGTTTGCTTCCTGGTCCAAGGGCACAATCAAGTGTCTGAAATTCCCATTCTTCTCAGAGTCAGCCACAGTTTGTTGTGATCCACACTGTCAAATGCATTTGTATAGCCAATGAAACACAGGTTGACATTCCTCTGGTACTCTTTGCTTTCAGCCAAGCCCCATCTCACATTAGTTATAATATCCCTACTACTGGGTTTAGGCTTTTCTAGACCCAGCCTGCACATCTGACAGTTCTCTGTTAATATGCTGTTACAGCCCTTTTTGGATAATTTTCAGCAGAATCTTACATGCGATATTAGTTATATTGTTCAATAATCAATGTTTACCCCCTAAGCACAGTTTAAGTTTGGGTCATAAAACTGTGTTTAGGGATAAACATTGATCAGATTATTTACTGTTTCCTGGAATATAGGGTTGTATTCGCGTAAAGTCAGAAGGTCAGTAAAATGGAATCCCTTTGGTTTCTACCTTATAGAAAGGATATGTTGTTTTGTACTATATAATTCCAACCAACCCATGGCTGACCCATCTGTGGGTTTTCAGAGGCAGTTAATCACATGGGAGGACATTCGGACTGCATGCCTTTGGGATTACAGTGCAGCTTCTGGCCACTAGGCCAGGGAAATACAGAATACTGTATGCTAGCAAGGCATAAAGTAATCTTTTTTGCCTGGTTTGTCAAGCCTTTTGGAAAAACAGATCAACTGAAAGATGCAAAACCATGAGTAAAATTGAGTTGGGCAAAAAAGCATGTATCTATATATGACTGTCTTGGAGGCAAGGATGATGATACTCCATCTCTAAGGAGGGCCTAGTCCTCAGAGAGAAACATCAGTCTTAGAAAGGTAGAGAGTGATCATAGGAAAGGAAGACCCTCAATGAGATGGATAGACACTGGCTGTAGCAATGAGCTCAAGTGTGTCAGAAAAGAAAAGGATGGCACAGAATATGGTAAAGTCCAGAGTTGTTGTTCATAGGGTTGCTGTGAATTGTAGTCAATTTGATGTCACATAACAATGACATCAGTACAAGTTTGGAGGGGATGTAAGAAAAAGAGAAATTTAATGAGTACAAGTAGTAAATTTTAAGTTCTAAAGGGTAGCCATGAGTGTAAGATAAACATGCAATGTTGGGAGAACAGAGACTAAAGGAAAGAAAAACAACAACAACATGCCTTAAAAATTAGGTAGAACAACCACTCTGGAATGCGGTTAGTGTTTCCTCAAAACGCTGAACATAGAAATTCCGTGTGACCCAGCAACTCTGCTACTAGGAATATATGTTGAGTAAAATAGAGCTGAGACAAAAAGCAGTGTTACTCTCAATAGAAAGAAAATGGAAACAGCAAAAATGTCCATCAACAAACAAATGGATGGAGAACTTGTGGTACATTCACATAATGAAATTCTCTCTAGCACTCAGGAATAATAATTTTGAAAAATACTATGTAACATGGGAGAGGCTAGAGGGCATTATGATGAGTGAACTAATAACTCAGTCTCATCAAAATACATATTGCATTAGACCATTATTATAAAAATAGAAGGATGACTAGTAAGATATGTATCAAAGCCCAAAGGGGGAAGAGGAAGGGAAGCCAGGATAAAGGTGGGGAGGGGGGAAGTCTCAAGATTGCAGTGTTTGGTGGGCAGAGCAAGGAGGTCAAGGAATTAGGAAAGATCCAGAGGAAATCTGAGAACGTGGGCTAAAAGTAGGCATGGATCAATGGTAATTAATTTTACAAAGTATCCTGTGTGTGAATGATAAAGTGAAACATTATGAAAGGAGGAATACATAAAATAGCGTCTATAAACCAAACACATACAATCAATGTAAACAATGCATAATGTGTAAGACTTGTGTA